CATTTGGCAATAGCCATGATTAATTACATTTGCTAATTACAATAATCTTTAGTAGCTCCATGACACTTAGTGTCTGCGGCTACAAATGATAAAAGTTGATAGTACCACAAGCGTGTGGCACAGATGTTGAGCGTGTGGACATGCGGTTCTCAATCAAATCACATTGAATTATTCTTATTTATTTAAAATTTTAAATAAATACAAAATCAAATATGTTTGTTTAGTATGCTTTCAATTCAATGTATTTATAAATGAAGTTGTGTTGTTACTTTTGCAATTCTTAAAAGTACCATGCATGTACTCGTCTGACATACAATAGCAGCTACCAACCATAAAGCTGACTTTCTAACTGTCTGACTGTCTCAAAACAATTCAAATCATATAAAAAAGCAACTCTTAGTTTTAAAACTCAGATAAAAGTGGGGACATTGCATTCAAAAATAATGTTTTAAAAAATATATATATATTTTACGAAGAATGTATATTATCTCTTAAAATAAAAATTGTAATAATTTTTTTTTCAATGTCATTAAAACAAAAACGCTTTATGCAAATTCACGAACTGTCTAAATATGTCACAGATTCTCAAATAAACTTTACACTTTTATCTTTAAAAGTAAATGACAAAAAGTCCATGTTTCGAAAATTATATATCTCAGTAAAAACGGAACTAAAAAAATATCTTTCAGGAATTTTTTAAAATTTAAGCATTGCCTTTTTTTTTTACGATTGAAACCCCACACCGAGTAGGCCGATGTCACCCTAAAATTTTACTGGAGCCTTTTTCAAGATTATCTACCTTATTGGACTTGCGAGTAGGCCCACTTGCCGTTTGGCTACACCAATCAGGAAATACGTGGGCTATATCACAATATGCTGCAAAACTACAGCACTAAAACTCCAACAACTTGTTTCAGTGCATAGATCCAGTCGCCAATTAAAACGGAAGATTTGATTGCGGTCGTGTTGGTCTTGAGTCACTGGACGATGTAAAAGTATTCATAGCTACCGATACTTTCGCTCATGGATTATGGGTGATTAAGATTAAAAACGATCCGGAACAAAACTTTCGAGATATATTTCTTTTTTAACGGCACGACGTAACACAAATATGCTGTAAATTTCGCCGTTCACTCTGGAAAGTAAATTGGTCAACGGAAGAAGGCAAACGTACGAAGCCGTTCAAGATTCTAGAGTTTTACTATTTTTTGTTGTTGTTTTGTTTTTGAGAATACTATAGTTAAATGCCATGAAATAATAAAATATTTACATTACCAACCAATCAACTTACTTGGTCGACAACTTTGACTTTCCATATCGAAATGCTCCTCTATGATACAGGAACACATTCCCTCATAGCAATGCAGTGTCTCCTTGCAAACTGACTGTGAGCCGCATGGGGCTTTAAAATCAAGTTCTAAATTGGAAAAATAAATTGAAAAAAAAATATATATATAAATATATCTATGTCTTACAGCTACGGTATATTTCTTCACAAATAAAGTTTTTACAATGTTTATTCATAATTGAATATTTCAAACCTATTTTCAGGTTACAATTGCTTTGAACATATTCTTACAGTCTTTGTCAATCATCTATAATAATAGCGATGATAGTGGGTTTAAGATGTAAGTTGTGAATCGATAACCATTGTTTGGTTTTTTTTGGAATCTTCTTGCCGTCACAATGTGACATCTTTGTAATTTTCACCGGACGAAATCACACAGCCTGGCTTTTTAAATTGAGGAGTATAATCTGGTTCTCTTGAAGGATATATTCTATATCCACGCATACGGATAACCCAGTGATCGATAAACTCATTAGACAAATAAGGAAACATTAAGCAGGAGGACGTTGATCTCCAAAACCGATTTGTGGTCGACTGGCCGAGCCGCCTTCAGGTCGCTGAAGAGCCGCATGCAGCATTGCGGATAACCCAAAGTGCGTCATGTGCGAATGATGCAGCTTTGTGTCCGTAAATTACTACATAAATTACGACTTAAATAAAACTATTACAAAAAAAAAATAAATCAACTAACCTGGAATAATCGTATAACAAACTCAAGTGACAATCAGATACTTACTCATCAAACAACTTTCAGTAATACTGTTGTAGAGTTCATTAGATGTACAGTTGCAGTTTCCATCAAGACATAAAAGCTGATTTTTGCATTGGGTATCAAAAGTACAGTTGTGGCCAATGCCTAATTCTAAAGTAAATGAAACACAAATATTTGAAAAAAAAACATATTTATTTTACGAGAAGAGTATTTTCTATCAATCAATCAATTTGTAGGTTTGATTTTAAAAAGGCGATTATTAACGACATATTAGATGACTATTTTGTATCAAATAATCACTAATTTGCATATTTATTTATTTTTTATCGATTATCAACTATAACAGTGAATTATTAGTTGGCAGTGCAACATTATCAACATAAAAATACCGATCATTTAGATCCCTTTTGCTTGTAGACGCAATTAATCTTAGCTGAGCTATGTATCTGTCCCCACTACTCAACTTATTCAGATATTATTCATACACTCTTAGCAACAATAAAATTAGTTTGAGTACTATTGTAAATTTCAATTGTACGTATAACAAAGTTGACTTATGTTGTAAACTTACTGCTGGAAAATGGCATGCTATTTAAATCCATCTAAATGAAGCAATAACATATATTGTAACGTAGGACGTACTGAATTTTCTCTGCTTCGTGAATTTTTTAATTGCTAAAATTTAATAAGAAATGAATATCTTGAAAATTTTCATTTGGTAATACGGGTATTATATTTACCGTAAAAGTACTTAGAAAAAGTGCATTCACAAGTCGCCCTAAATGTTGATATATTGTAAATCCCTTTGTTAAAGTGGTTTTAGTTCCTGAAGCTTTCCCTCATAGAAATAAACAATTATCGAGAACTTATACGCTAAAAGAAAATCATCAGTCATCAGTGACGTTGTCTTGATCTGAGTTCATAGGAAATTCGTAAATCAACAAACAACAGGGCTTAATATTCTGGAAAAGGATATTCTACCCAATATTTTGTTTCTCAGCGTAAGCTGTTACATATAGACTTGTGTGTAAATTTGGAATTCAAAATACATATATATTCAATAACAAACTATAAGATACTGTTTAGTAAAATAGTTGTTATATGTTTAAAAATGTTCAGATACTTTTGCAGTTTGTAAGCTACACTTTCTTTTCTGCCATTACTTGTTTTTATATATTTATAAGATACTATTTCCTTGGTGTCTTTTAGCTGCTTATTCATATTATTTTTTGTCCTTATTTACATTCTATATCCTACTTTATCAATATATTAGTAAATGTATGCCTAGCAATTGATCTAACCACGGTTGAGCTCTTCTCTACTTACTTGTTTCACACATGTCCTGATTGCTATCGTAGAAGTGTGTTGTGTTACACACGCATGTGTCACTGACGCAGGTCAAAATCTCTCTACACTGAGATGTGAATGAGCAGGTAGCCTGGTAGTTTAATCCTGGAGGTAAGCCAAAGATTATCCATTTAAAGTTTCTAAATTTGTTTGTCTTTAGATAACATGTTTATTTTAATGCACATAAAAATATAATTAAAAATTTAACAAATTTATTTGTAAAGGAAATGTTCTGTTTCTTTATGTTATAACAATAATAAGTCCCTTACTTGTTTTACAAGTAACATTGAAGAACTGGTCAGACGTACAGTAACATTTACCATCAGTGCAGGTCAAGGTCTCATTACACAGAATGTCAGTTGAACAACTTCCACCAAAATCTATCCCTAAAATATAATAAAAAATTGCATTAATGATAAGAGAAAGAACGATTCTTCAAAGATTTGTAATATTTTTTTTATGGTCAAATTTTATGATGGAATGAAAAAAAAAGCATTGTTACTCTCAAGGCAAGGAGATGTTTCAAAAATTGCCAATAAAATTCATGTATTTTTTGTTAAAATAAAAATTTCTAATGCTTAATTAAAATCTATAAATCGTCACCTTATGAGATAATTAAAATTTAAGTTCACCTCTCCATCCAGCGACTCAAATCAACAAATCCAGATAAGACCCAGTTTGTGGAAAGAACGCATGATTTTACATTTTATTTTTAGTTTCTTATATGAGTCTTTGGATTATTTTTTCCATTTATTCTTATTGTTTACACATATTTATGACAACTTTGTTCAGGTTACACACATGGGAGAGAAAGTTTATCTTGAAAATATACGCGCTAACAAAGAGGTGTACGAATGGATAGTACAAACCCAATAAGGAATTTGATAGTCCAAATCAAGATCCGACACTAGTATCAGATTTTTTTTAAAAAGACAAAACTACAGTGTCTGGATATTTGAAAAGAATACCAAATGGCAGAAGTATGGAGAGGTTGCACCACTAAAATCCAGATAAAGACGGCCCAAAGTTAGACCTAGGCTTGACTGGATGGATGATGTGGAGAGGTATCCAAGCATGAAAAGAAACTCAATAGTTAGGTCGGAGAGGAATGATGTGGTAAGGCAGACAATTGCAATGCATGGACTGTAGCACCACAGGGATGGATGGATTTTGAGAAGGTTACGGACTTTGTCCAATTTTATTTTTAATTTCTTTTCTGTTATTTTTAAGATGTAAATATTAAGGATATAAATGTATTAAACGAATTTTACATAAATTTAAAGTTATACGTTATACTGGTGAAAGCGTAAGCCGAATCGTTTCAAATTGTACATTGATATATAATAATTTAAGCTGATATATATATACCGGTTAATTTCCACAAATTGATTGTATATAAATACAATCGTTATCGCATTACAACTCTCGTTTAGCGGATTTATCATGTCTGTTAGTTAATTTATTTATGACATGAAGACATATGTTCAGTTTGCGTCTTGAATAGTTTTTGAATTTTTTTTCTTCTTACTAGATTTACACATGAGTTGATTGGTATCATAGAACTGTGTTGAGTTACATAGGCATTTGTTGCTGATGCAGGCCAGGCTCTGTTTACATTGAGAATTGGATGCACATGGACCACTGTTATATTCTATCCCTGGATGGCGGAGAAAAGAATTACGATTTAAAAAGTAATTAAATGTCCACATTAGAAAGCTTGAGATGCAACACTCAACACTTGTGGCAATAATCCGGGAACTATACTTTTCAATTGCTAATTAATAGCTAGGACATAATATGTTCGTAATAAGCTGCATAAACCTCTAGTAGTATTATACGGTGCTCAATGTGGTCAGCGGAAATGTGATACAAAAATACAAAGAATGGAATAAATATTGTTACAATGTGTTCTATTGCCATTTTAGTATCTAATATCAAACACGAATACCAGAAAACGTTAAATTTATAAATAAAATATTTTTTTTGGCGAGGAGGCTATAATGCACATGTACATTGTTTGTACTTATCATCAACTAAGTCATTGTTACCACTTCATCTAAAGACATCCGATACATAAATAGTTTAGTAACAAACATAAACTACCACTTGATAAAAATATTTCAATATACATTATTCGTTATAATATTATAACATTATATTATGTGTTTTCTTATCGTATTAAAGGTTTTGTTAGAAAAGCTAAAAATATGTCGGCGGATATTAAGCATAAATTCTTTAAGGCATCAAAGGATGATGTGGCAAGAAATTTTGTCTTCTTCAATAAATACATTTTTAAATGAAGACTGATACTTGCTTTTCAAATAAGTATTATAAACTCAAATATTTATTAGCTTTTAAATAACAGAATTTACTTGTGATAAAAATACGCATTTTAGCCGTTTGCTTTAAGTGCTCTTCGACTTAAGATACTTTGCTTATATCATTTTCTTGTTTTTGTACTGTACGTAGGAGAAAACACATACGTCCTACAAATTGATTTGATACTTACTGTTCTTACACGTGGCGTCAAAATACTCAGTGGCTAAGCACTTGCAGTTGCCATCACATGTTAAACTGTTCTGACATTCTCCAGTTGTCGTGCATGCCATTCCGTAAGGTTTGTCTGTTTGAAATAGACAGTTAAGCCGACAATTTAATTCAGATTATATCATATTATGACTTATGAAATCAACACATGGAACTCATACAAAAATGAAAACATAATAAAACTATTCTTCTTTGAAAAAAAAAATGTAAAAAATGTTTCTTTCATAATATGTTTTGTTTCTATTAACAAATGTTTTAGAAATATATAAATACCATTAAAAAAAGTATTGTTTAAAACATTTTTTATTTCTTTTAATTGAACATACAGATACAATATTTTTAATCTCTATTTAAACATGGATCCAATGTAATTGTTAAAACTCGAATAACTTTGACGTAATTTAAATGTAGAAAATAAATCTAAAATACACTTATGTTTGAATTATTATCTACTTACTTGTTTTACAGACAAGTTCATTGGCATCGTAGTATTGTGTAGAATTACACACACATAAGAGATTGATGCAGATAAGGCTCGGTTTACATTGAGAACTAGATGCACATGAACCACTGTTATAGTCTATCCCTGGATATTGGGGAAAATATTTCTCAATGCAAAAATAATTAAATTTCAACAACGCAAGGTATGAGATGCAATATTAAAAAAATATGACAATGTCTATGATTAAATACCTAAGTACTAGCTATAGCACGTATTCTCAAACAGATGAATAATATACCTCTACACTTTACTAGTAGACGATGATGAATGTGGGACGCGCAATGTAACATTAAATAGAAATACAGAGAAATAAAGATCATTGTAAAACTGTTAGCTATTGCTATTGTTGTTGCTAATACCAAAATGAAATATGAAAAACATAAATTTATTGATAAAAAGAGAATTCATTTTGCTTAGAGGCTACAATGCACTATATTCATTGTTTTTTTTTTTATATTTCATAAATTAAGTCATATATTAATGATTAAGAATTAGTTTTTACCTATTAAAATACCAATTTTTGGTCGTTTAAAACATTAGGATTACCAATTTGATGTTAGATATTCTTTCAAAAGCTATTAAGTCTATTTTAATCATCCGTTTCCTGTTGGTTAGGATTGTGTCTCCTTTTTGACAAGATGTCTCGTTACACTGATTTTGACACGAAATTTACGTGTTCAAAGAATTGGTGGGACATCTTCAAGATTTCCGTGATTGTGCTTTTAATAGTAGTTTTTCATAGGTTTTAAGATGGAGATGGCCATCAAACATTATTTTTGCACAAGGTTGCCTGACACTCTGAAAATACGTCCCACCATACGAGACTCAAATAGCTTTAAAATAAAGAATGTCAAGAAACACAACCGCTTTGAATAATTTTATTTCTTTTGAGTGTTGATTACTCTCGTGGTCTATTCTTTCTAGACATTTTGTTAGTGGTTGCACTTGCTCTTGCAACTAGAAGAATAATCACGTTATCGATTGTTGCACTATGGCACTGAGTAATGCCAAACCAGGAGAAGCTGGTTACTAATTTAAAACTTACACCATATATTTAAATACTCAATGGAACAAGATATATTTGGTCTTGAAAAAACAAGACAGGACAGATTTATGTTCGTTTCTAAACCAAACATCTCTTGTTCTGAAGTATATTTTCTACACATCCTGTTATTGGCGCAAAGTTGGTAAGTAATGTCTTCCTTAAAGGGGCTGCTCAGTCACTCATGGGGCTTTCGGAAACCCCTGGTACATCTTTAAGTGATGAGCGACATTTTGAACAGAGTTGATAGGCAACCACATCTTCCTTGTACTCACACCTTCCGCTTCGCAGCTTGCCCATCGCCACAAGTCCTAATGAGATCGTCAAATACCTAATTAAAACAAAAAATATTAGCCACAGTACTTACGTGCTCTGCAAAAATTATCAACGTCTAAAAATTGATTTTCCGTGCATTCACACCGATTACTTATACATTCCATGTTGTTGAGACAAGGTATGGTTGTTGAACATGTGCCACCATACGCCGGTTCTGTAATATTATTATTATTGCATAAACATTGTAATAAGAAGTTTATAAATGTATTGAGCTAGTTTACTTGCATAGTTAAAAATGCATTAATATATTAATATCTAATAGCACAAAATAAGTGTCCGATCTCTTGAATTAAAATTGAGAAATATAATCTTAAAATAATGGTATGAAATGTTAGATTACAGTTGAGTAAAAAGTGCTTTTTATTTCACAACTTTAATACGTGGATCTAAATATAGAAAAGACGGACCTGAAATGGAAGATATATTGTAGTAATAGATTTCAAAGTGGCAGCTGGTCGGATGTTATTATTCTAAAGTTAGTGGATATTCTGGTTCTGGTAATGTTTCGTTGCTGCATCCATTTTTGCAACGGTTTGGGGTATGATGTTGCTATTCTAACAGCTCCTAGCTGATGCCAAGGCAGCTTTGCAGCTTTCGACTGATGTCGAGTTCACAGTGGCATCGTTCAGGTTGTTCCATGTTATTATTGTGCGTGGGAAGAAAGATTTTGTTGATACTGCACTGTGTTGCACTGATGCACTTTGAAGCATTTGCTATTGATCTGGTGTAATTGTTAATGGGAATGTCAGTGGTGAAGTCCGTGTTCAGTGAGCGTTTTGCTCTGATCAGTCTAGCCGGCTTCTGTGGGGTGAGGTACGTGCCTGCTAGGATGGCCGGCACCAGTCCTATGATAACTTTATTTAAGAATGTCAGGCGGAGTCCCTCTCATCTGTCTTTAAGGGTGGGGGGGGGGTCAAATCTTTTTAAGAGGCCAGTGACGAAGCCAGGAGTGGGGGATTAGTAGTCGCGAGCGATTAAACGCACTGCGTTTCGTTGAATTCGCTTAATGGTTTTCACATCTTGCTTAAGGTGTGGAAACTTTATTTAAGAATGTCAGGCGGAGTCCCTCTCATCTGTCTTTAAGGGTGGGGGGGGGGTCAAATCTTTTTAAGAGGCCAGTGACGAAGCCAGGAGTGGTGGATTAGTAGTCGCGAGCGATTAAACGCACTGCGTTTCGTTGAATTCGCTTAATTGTTTTCACATCTTGCTTAAGGTGTGGGTCGCAGATGATCGCACCGTATTCCAGTAGTGGATGGACGAGTGCGAGTTAGGCATTCTGTTTGCAGGAAGTTGGGCAGTGGCGCAGATTTCTTCGGATAAAACCTAGGGTGTAGTTGGCTTTTTTCAAATGTTGTTTATATGAGGTGACCATTTTAGGTTATTGGAGAAGAGAATTCCAAGGTATGGACTATTGTGTACATGTTGGAGGATTGTCTCGTTTAGTGAGTAAATAGCAAACAAGACCCATGGTGGGGGTTACGTCGCAGATCGCAGAGTCTAGTGACGCAGATGCGCACCGAGCACTGCCCCTTGCGCACATATTTCTGGAGGTTGGATAACAACAGAGATCCTACCTGCCGGCATTGCAGCCTGGCCCCAGAGACCTTAGAACATCTGTTGACTGAATGTCCCGCACTAGATCTCCCGGGGGAAGCCAGGGCGGTTGGAGGATCCTTTGTGAGGGAAATGTTGTATGGCTCAGCTGAACAGATGGAGTTGATAGCCAATTTACTAGCCGGTGTCATAAGAGAGTAATCTCAGACCTTCACCAGAATATGTGCGTTAGTTAGTGAGTAAATATGAGTTGATGTTTTTTTTCTTCTTGTGATTGTCATAGTGTATTATTTGGTTTCATGCCCCATTAGTCCGCGAAATTCAAAGGCACTTCAAATCTGTTTGGAGTTGGTGTGATGTATTTTGACTGTACTTTTATCAATCATTATTATAATATTCATCAATGCGAAATTTATTATATATAGTGTAATTTGTTAATGATTAAAGGATATTTTGAAATTGGAAATATTTATATATGTATATATTTATATATTACATCGTTATATATTCATATATATGTATGTAAATGTATGTATATGTATGTATTATAAATTGTGTGAGTGTGTCGTTGGATGATATTGTAAGGAAACCTTGCTTACTCTCTGCTAACCTTCCATCTATATCTGGCATTTACTAAAGAACAACTCAGGCGATAATATTTGATGATTAAAATCTTGCTCTTTATTAGGCTGACACTTCGCTTATACCTTCTCTCATCTCACAACTCTGACTGCCCTCTTCTCCTACCATACGGCCGCGCTCCCCTAGTCCTGTCCAGAGGTCCCTATTTATAAGTCCACCAGCCAACCGAGGCGTCTCTAGAGATTACTCCCCCTACCTTCTTAAGTCTTGATTTGTCCGCTACACGCCAAACACCTGGACTGAACTCTGCCGTGGTTTTGCCCCTCATCCCTGCCCGCTGCATTCCTCAGGTCTGTAATCTTACGTGCCCGCCCCTTTGATCAGTCGGAGCCTACGCCAACCCCTGTCGCCACCAGGTTACCAACCAGTCGTCCCAGGGAAACACCCTGGTCAGATGGCCGGTACCCTGCTGCGAGATCTGACGCACCCGGTGCTTTGATCAGTCGACCCTGGTCAGATGGCCGGTAACCCCAGATGGCCGGTAACCCTGCTGAGAGATCTGCCCGGCGCTCGTGGTCCGAACTCTCCACAATATTGAGTACATAGGATATCACTACAATAATTGTCATATTTAAATAGATGTAAGGACTTCAAACTTGTCTGATGATTTAAGTTAACTATATTAAAATGTGATTTAGCATGTTAAAATGATCAATTTTATTCTCTAGTTTACGAGCACTCCAACTAAAAAGTCCTCAATTATATAAGCAGAATTTAGACTTGTTCGATCATCAAATCTGTGTTTAATGCCACAGCTCATCATTGGATTGATCTAACGCTTTATTTAAAGTCATCCGATTATTTACTAATTAAACAACAAGAAGTTTCACATTACTAGCACTTTATAAAATTATTGAATATAAAGTATGCAGCTTTTTTTTTCATCCTTTGAATGTTATGTTACAAAAACTACACATTACATAAATTAAAAATGGTGGCCAATTTTGTAATAAGTAATAAGCTGCGTCAATACTAACAAATAAATGCATTTTTCCTTATTACAAAATATATCACATTTTGTATCTTGCCTTTGTTATATTAATATAAGTTAATACTATGTGTTGTTACCAGATTTATTTTTTTGTTTGTAAAATTAAACAAAATGAAATTGAGCATTAATTATTCCAAGTTTTTAAATTAAATTTGCGGCGTATTGTTATCTTCAGTCTTCTCTAATCACAATTTTAATATACACTGATAGTTCCTTTTCAAATAAAGAATTTATACTCAAATATTTTCTTTACTCTAAAAATTACATAACTTACTTATTAAAAAATATACGTATACTTGCAGTTTATTTTAAATACTCAATGCTTTAATATACTTTGCTAATATCATTTTCTTGTTTTAATATTGCACGTAGGAAGTGACGTATATGTCCAACAATGTCATTTGGTACTTACTAGTTTTACATGTGCCGTCAAAATACTCTGAGTTCAAACACTTGCAATTTACATCACATGTCAAACTACTCTGACATTCATTAGTTTTTGTGCATGCATTTCCGTGCGATTTTCCTTTGAAAAATGAAAATTAAGAAAATACTTCATAAAAATTTTTTCTCTAATTTTTTTAATTGATGAAATCAAAGAATTTAACTCATAAAATATATAAAAATTAATCAAACAACGCTTGTTTAAAAAATAAAAACAAACTTTCTTTCATAAATTTTGCATCTTATTACAAATATTTAAAAAAAAAATTCCATTCGCAGCTCATCTCCCAAACATAGCCAAGTGGAACGTCAGAAACATGTATGAAACAGAGAAAGTGGCGAACGGGGCGGAAGAAATGAGAACTTACAAACTTACACCACTGCTTGGCATCTGTAAAACACGATGAAAGCAAGCTGGACAGATAACTTTGGCCTCTATAACAATGCTAATGTTCTCAGGGCATGAGAAGGAAAATACTCCGCCCACTCAAGGAGTCGCTTTCATGTTATCACGGATAGCACATCTGTCATTGATTGAATAGGAAGCCCTTGGACCAAGAATAAAAACAGCTACCTACCGAACAAAGAAAATGACAATAAAGATGTACATAACACAGTGCTACGCACCCACAAACAATATCAAGGAAGACGAGAAAGAAACATTTTATAATAAACTACAAGCAATATTTGAAATCTTCCCAAGTAGACACCTAAATATTTTAATGGGAGACCTAAACGCTGAGAACGGAAAACAGTGGGTATGAGGAAATTATGTGATGCCATGGTGTACGAGGGAGGAATGGAGCAGTGAAAGACTAGCAGACTTCTGGGCAACAAATGTGTTTGTCACTTGAGGGAATGAATTCCAACATAAAAACATCCAAAATAAAACATGGATACCCCGGACAACAAAACACAATACCAAATAGATGATATATGTATTAGCAAAACATTTAGTAGATCTCTACAAGATGATGGAGCAAAAAGAGGAGCCGATGTTTGATCAGATCATCATTTTGTTTGGGCAAAACTTAAGTTAAAACTGAAGAAAAACTGGGAAAATCCAATTATTAAACGAAATAATTTAGCGTCGCTCTATTGGCAAATGAAGAGAAACAAGAAGAATTTTGTGCCATCATAAGGAATAAGTTATAACACCAAACAAAAGATGCCTTTTTGAACACAAACAGCAAAATATAAAGATGGGCTTAACATCCAATTGCCAAGAAGTTTTATGATTAGTGAAGCAGAAACACAAACACTGGCTCTCAGTTAACACACTGCAAAAATTAATAGAGAGAAAAGAAAAGTAACATGTAGTTAAAAGCAGACGCACCAAGGCGGAGAAAACAAAAGGGCAAGAGAAATTTAAAGAAGCAAATAAAAGGGTAAAAACATAATTAAAAACGATAAAAATGCCTACATCGATGGTCTAGCAACAACAGCAGAAGAAGTACCCTGGAAGGGAAACTTGGAATATCTCTACGCTGTAACAAGAAAGCTGTAAGAAAGATACAAAAGGCCAGAGAGCCCTGTTAAGGATATAGAAAAAAGATCAACAACTGAATGTAAAAACAACAATCTAAATGGTTGAACTATTTTAATGCGCTATTAAGCAGACCCCCATCCACAGACACAGCAGGCATAAAGCCAGCGAATGAAGACTTGCCAATAGAAGATAGCGCACCAAATAAGGAAGAAATAGATCTGGCCATCAAGCAGCTCAAATTAAGGAAATCCTCGAGACCGAATAACATCACAGCAGAAATGATGAGTGCTGATATATATGCAATAGAGCTGCACCCTCTGTTAAAAAAAGACATAGGAAGAAGAGCGAGTTCCAAAAGATTGGAAAGAAGGATACCTCATCAAAATACCCGCTGCCAGAAGACGTACCTAGGGGAGACTGGACGACACCTTTCTGACAGGTTTATCGAACACCTCCGAAAAATTACACAAGATAAACAGTATCCCGTTTCCAAACACTTAAATAGTTGCGACCACCAGGGCAAGACGGACTTTTCAATAAATGCAATCGTGGCTAGCACCATTTTTTCTGTTGTTTTGTTCGCTGAAGAAGGCTTTCTGCCGACACGTTCGTTGTTTTGTTGCATTTCTTTTTTCAGGTTTAACCCAACTTTGTTTTACTCATTTTATATTGTGCTAACCTGATTGCAGTCTCTACCCTTATTATCCCCTTAAAGATAGCAAAGAAAGGGGATCTTAGCATGTGTGCAAATCATAGAGGAATTACACTGCTGTCTGTGCAAGGACAAAGTTTTGAATAGAATTAAAGACCAGGTCTGGCTCCTGCCAAAACAGATCATGCGCAGATCAAATTGCAACACTAAGAACTAATGTAGAACAATAATTCGAATGGAACTGCCAACGATATATACATTTTATAGACTACAAAAAGGCCTTTGATAGCCTGGAAACCACAAATCGTGTTGAAACTTCTTAGGCACTAATGGAGTATCAGGAAAACTAGTCAGGATCATTTAGAGCTCTTGTGAAAGATGACAAGCAGGGTGTTCCACGATGGTAGACTCACAGATGACTTTTAAATTGGAAATATGAGCCACACAAAGATGTTTCTTGTTCCCTTTTCTATTCATACTCGACATTGATTTGAGAATGAAAAATCCACACACAAAAGCACGAACAGGATACAGTGAACACTGCAAAAACTGAATGACCTAGACTTTGCAGACGACATCACACGTATATCCCACAACCAGCAACAAAAGACGCCTTTTTCAGCACAGTTCGAACTCAATATTAATAAAAGGAGGACTCAAGCAAACCAAGAGTAAATCTCTCTTATAGAAAAGGCACTGGAAAAAGTGTAGTCCCTCTAATAATTAGGCAGCACTATCCATATAAATTGCGAACCCAATGTGAATGTAAGGGCTAGAATTGGAAACGCTAGATCAGCATTTAAGCTATATATAAAGTATGGGAGTCGATAGAGATAAATATGCAAATTAAAGTCAGAATATCTAATATAAATGTCAAAACATTCTACTATTTAGGAGCAGAAAGCAACAATATGACTAACTCAGAAGTTATATACTTTCATAAACACATGCCTTAGAAAGATCCTGAACATCAAATGGCCAAACATCATCACTAATAAAGATTCATTCGAATTAACTTACCAGGTGCCCATTGAGGAAGACATTGTAAGAAAAGATGGAGGTAGATAGGGCATGCTCTCCGAAAACCCCCAGATAGCATCACTAGACAAACTCTAATATGGAATCCACAAGCAAAAAGAAAAATAATAAGGCCAAAGAACACATGGAGACGCGAGCTAGGTGCAGACTGGCAAAATATGGGATACAGCTGGAAGCAACTGGGAAGGAAAGCACGGGGCCGCGATGAGCGGATAATTCTTGTGGACGGGCTATGTCCTAGATGGGGTAAAAAGGCATAATGAAAGAAGAAGATATCCTTAATAATAAGTGTTTAAAACTATTTTTCCCCTTTAAATTGCACATGCACATACACTATACCATATTTTTGCTCACACCTCTGTTGCATACTGTTTTCACTGTGGGGAAATTAATCTCTTATTTAAGTGTATGGCTCGATCTAAAAGAGTACACAACAAATGACGATACTAAATGATAAATACAATAACAAAGAGTACGGAACTCAATCCAGGGTTAATTAAAGTTAATGAACAAATTTAGGTTTATTACAATGGCTTTTAAATCAAAATAGAAATAAAATTAAAGCTATGGACATACAGAACAATGATTGGCTTGTACCGGTACAATGTCGAAGAAAACACAATGTGCCAAAAATCGTGCAATGATGGAAAGGAATCTACACACTCACAGTAAATAAATCTCTCGTCTCGAAGCAAAGATATCGCACGCTCACATTAGCTCTCGTGATAAATGATAGCTTAAAAATATCCAGTTTGTCTCTTTTTCTGGTCTGTCTTATTTATCTTTCTACAACGGCCATGCACACTGTTTTCTTGTCCAGTTGTCTCCAGATTTTTTTACAGAATTCTAATGATACAGACTATTTTTTTTCTTAGTTGTAAACAAGGTCAAGAGAGGCTTTTTTTTAGCTACCCACACCATAAGTGCGGTTCCGAGCTTGGTGCCAGCTGGAGTTTATTCACTGAGGAAGATGACGTTAACACGTCATCTACATAACACCTCGATTCAATGTGAGTAGTAAACTCTTTTTAGTTTGATGTAATTTAAATGTAGAAAATGTATGTAGCATACGCTTATGTTTGAATTATTATCTACTTACTTGTTTTACAGATACGTTCATTAGTATCATAATATTGTGTAGAATTACACACACATAAGAGATTGATACAGGTCAGGCTCGGTTTACATTGAGTATTAGATGCACATGAACCACTGTTATAGTCTATCCCTGGATGGTTAGGAAAATGTATTAAAAATTCAAAAATAAAAAAAAAAAAGGTTTCAATCATAAAAAATTAGAGACATATTCAACAATGTACTGTTACTTTGTGGCAGTGTCTATGATACATGCTTTTCAATCCCTTAGTTTTAGCTAGAACATTTATTCTTAAAGGTACATAGCATCTGTTAGCATGTTAAGATGCAACCATGTCTTACTCGGAGAAGTAGGATAAAGAAAAAAAAACAGTGAAATAAATATTGTTGTCACACTGAAAAGGCTATTGTATGGTCTATTACAAAACTAAAATGTGTTTAAAAAACTTTTACTAAACAATAATTAGATGACCCTAAAAAGAAAGTTAAAAAAAAAATCTTTCATAAAATGTAATATCCAGCAAATGGGATGGGCAGAAATCCCCCCCCCCCCCGCCCCCCCAAAAAAATAAAAAAAATAATCACACACAGGAATAAACTATATTAATATTCTAATGACACTCCCGCTTTTACACCGAATATTTAGTTTGACCACCCATTTAAGAAAAACAAACACATACAATACCACAAATTCGCTTTTGATATTTTTCTAAAAATATCTCATTTAGTGAAAATATCGGCAATTGTATTTTTTGAAATCAGTGTCATTATTTCATGCCTCTTCCTCTTTAAAAAAGTCCCCCCCCCCTTTCTTCTTCTTGTTTTTAAAATGTAACCATTAACATTGAGGATCAATTCTTTTAAGCTTTAAAGCTTGATGTTCGGCGCATTGTTATCCCCCTGAAAACATCTATTAAATAAAGAGTGATAATTGCTTGTCAAAAAAGCATTGTAAACCTAACTATTTTCTTTACTCTAAAATGTACATAGCTGACTTCTGAGAAATGCAGGTATATATTGGGCTTTGTGTTATTTAATTCATGAATGTTTACAATTTCCTAATATCATTTTCTTGTTTTCATATTGGACGTAAGAATCGACGTATGTATCTTTCAAGTTCATTGGGAACTTACTGGTCTTACATGTGCCGTCAAAATACTCAGCGTACAAACACTTGCAGTTTATATCACATGTCAAGCTACTCTGACATTCTCCAGTTGTCGTGCAAGCAATTCCGAAAGATTTTCCTGTTGAAAATGGCCAATTAAGCAGATAATTTATGTACATTTTCCCGATTGACGTACTTGTGAAATCAACACATGAAACTCATAATTTAAAAAGAACAAAAAATGTTTTTAAATAAAAATATATTTCTTTCACTACATGGTAATTCTTAACTACAAACACTTTAAGAATCTTTTACACAATTAAACAAGTATTGTTCAAAAGCTGTTTTGTTCCTTTAAATTGCTCATACAAATATAATATTAATAATGTCCTTCTACAGCGTGATTAGTAAGCTAATATTACTTTGATGTTATTTTTGCCCATACGCTTTTGTTTGAATTATTATATACGTACTTGTTTTACATATGAGCTCATTGGTATCGTAGTACTGTGTAGAATTACACACACAAGCGTGACTGATGCAGGTCAGGCTCTGTTTACATTGAGAACTAGATGCACATCCGCCAGTGTTATAGTCTATCCCTGGAAGGTGGAAACATTAAGGATATTAAAAATCAACCCATTAAAATGTTTACGTTATCGGCGAACGTTAAAATTAATGATGCTATCAAATGTGTGAATAGTATTAACATTTTTTAATTCCAGCAAAACATCCGCAAGAAAAACGAAAATGTAACTTTTTAATATATATTTCTAGTGGTACATTACATTGCCCCAGAATGTAAGCGAAGTTGTAGATATAAAAGAGAGATGAACTAGAAATACTTAGTCTCAATATCGAATTCAAATCGCTACAAATTTTGAAAATTCCTGTCCTAGAACACACACTAGAAATATCAACATTATCGAGCTGTTTTGACCGAGAGACATTGACCTAACTCGACCCCTCTAAAGTTAACCACAAGTTACCTAAAGTCTACATTTGTACATCACGATTACATGATTTTTCTGTAGCGCAAATAAAATATTCCAGCAGACAGCCCATGACTGCGAATATAGCTACTGGCTGAAAGTTGCTCAGTATGGCCAAAATGAGTGATAACATTGTTTCCTGTCCATAAATTGGATAGGATAAAGTTTAATATAATTATACATTTACACACAGTTAGCAAGTAAGTTCATCGAAATAAGTTTCATCGACGTCACTTCGTCGAATGATACACTTCTTGGACTGACACGTCATAAAAATGTCAGTGTTGGGCTACCTGTAAATATTAATTGAAAACACTATTGCTTTTACATATATTTATTGTTCACATTATGACCATATTTGATGGTTTAAAAAAAAAATTAAAAGGCACCTATAAGTAATCTGCCATATTTCCATCTCACTTACTTGTTTTGCAAGAAAGATCATCATCAAAGAACTGACTTGCCGTGCAATCACATCGACCATTCAAGCAGATTAAATTATTAGGACAGGGATAAGCCGAACAAGGGTCACCGTAAGAAGGTACTGTGCAGAAAGTGCGTCATTGTAGTTAAAAAAAAATTATAAGTTGTAGAGCTTATTTACAAATATCAGGTATGAAATATCAACATTTCCTTTAAAATATTAAATAAATTGAGTCTAATTAATTTTTTTAAAATTAAAAAGTCATTGCAAAATTATCTAAAGGTTTCAATTAAAAATATAACTACAAATTTATATACTACTATCAAAATCTACACAAAAAAAATTTTTTACACCTTCAAACACAGCCACACTTGTATAAAATTAGGACATTCACAAAAAGTGGTGACCTCTATATACATGCCAACAGACATGCTAACATAAATGTCAACATACATGCCGACATACATGCCAACATACATGCCAACAAACATGCCCAAAGACATGCCAACATACATGCCAACAAACATAACAACAAACATGCCAACAGACATGCCAATAGACATGTCAACATACATGCCAACAGACGTGCCAACATACATGCCAACATACGTGCCAACATACGTGCCAACATACATGCCAAAATACATGGCAACATACATGCCAACAGACACGCCAACAGACATGCCTAGCTACATGTCAAAATACATGCCAACATACATGCCAACAGACATGCAAACAGACATGCCAACAGATCATACAAACAGACATGCCAACAGATCATACCAACAGACATGCCAACAGATCATACCAACAGACATGCCAAAAGATCATACCAACAGACATGCCAACAGATCATACCAACAGACATGCCAACAGACATGCCTAGCTACATGTCAAATTACATGGCAACATACATGACAACAGACATGCAAACATACCTGTCGACACACATGCCAACATACATGTCAACATAAATGCCAACAGACATGCCAACAGACATGCCAACAGACATGCAAACATACATGTCAACATACAGTCCAACATACATGCCAACAGACACACCAACATACTTGCCAACACACATGCAAACATTCATGAGAACAGACATGCCATCAGACATACTAAATGACGTGCCAATATACATGTCAACATACATGCCAACAGACATGAAATTATACATGTCGACATAAATGCCAACATACATGCCAACAGACCTACAAACATACATGCTAACATACATGGCAACATACATGTCAACATAAATGCCAACAGACGTGCAAACATACATGTCGACATACATGGCAACAGACGTGCCAACATACATGTCAACATAAATGCCAACATGCATGTCAACAGACATGGCAACTTACATGTCAACAAACATGCAAACAGATATGCAAATAGAAATAAAAATATACATGCCAACAGACATTACAACAGACATGTCAAAATACTTGTCAACAGAAATGCCTACAGAAATGCCAAAAGACATGCCAACAGACAATTCAACATACATGCCAACAGACATGCCAACAGACAATTCAACATACATGCCAACAGACGTGCCAACATAAATGTCAACAAACATGCCAACAGATTTCAACATACATGCCAACAGACATGCCAACAGACATATTAACAGACATGCAAACAGAAATACAAACATACATGCCAACATACATTCCATGAGACGTTTCAACATGCATGTCAACAGACATTACAACAGACATGCCAAAATACTTGTCAACAGACTTGCCAACAGAAATGCCCACAGACATGCCAACTGACATGTCAACATACATGCCAACAGACGTGCCAACATACAAGTCAACATACATGCCAAAATACATGCCAACATACATGCCAACAGACATGCAAACAGACATGCCAACAGATCATACCAACAGACATGCCAACAGATCATACAAACAGACATGCCAACAGATCATACCAACAGACATGCCAACAGATCATACCAACAGACATGCCAACAGACGTGCCAAGCTACATGTCAATATACATGGCAACATACATGACAACAGTCGTGCAAACATACATGTCGACACACATGCCAACATACATGTCAACATAAATGCCAACAGGCAAGTCAAAAGACATGCAAACATAAATACAAACATACATGCCAACATATATGCCAACATACATGCCAACAAACATGACAACAAACATGCCAACAGACATGCCAATAGACATGTCAACAAACATGCCAACAGACGTGCCAACATACATGCCAACATACGTGCCAACATAAATGCCAAAATACATGCCAATAGACATGCCAACATACATGCCAACAGACATGCCAAAAGACATACCAACATACATGCCAACAGACATGACAACAAACATGCCAACAGACATGCCAAGAGACCTGTCATCATACATGTCTTCATACATGCAAACAGATATGCCGACAGACATGCCAACAGACATGCCATCAGACATGCCAACATACATGCCAACAGACGTGCAAACATACATGTCAACAACATGCCAAAAGACGTGCCAACATACATGTCTTCATACATGCCGACAGACGTGTTAACATACTTGTCAAGAGACATGCAAACATAAATGCCAACAGACATGCCAACAGACATGTCAACATACATGCCTACAGACATGCCAACAGACATGCAAACAGACATGGCAACATACATGCCTACAGACATGCCAACATAAATGCCAACAGATATGCCAACATAAATGCCAACATACAGGCCTACAGAAATGCCAACATAAATGCAAACAGACATGCCAACATACATGCCTACAGACATGCCAACATAAATTCCAACAGACATGCCAACATAAATGCCAACAGACATTCCAACATACATGCCTACAGACATGCCAACATAAATGCCAACAGACATGCCAACATAAATGCCAACATAAATGCCTACAGACATGCCAACATAAATGCCAACAGACATGCCAACATAAATGCCAACAGACAGGCCTACAGAAATGCCAACATACATGCAAACAGACATGCCAACATACATGCCTACAGACATGCCAACATAAATGCCAACAGACATGCCAACATAAATGCCAACAGACATTCCAACATACATGCCTACAGACATGCCAACATAAATGGCAACAGACATGCCAACATAAATGCCAACATAAATGCCTACAGACATGCCAACATAAATGCCTACAGACATGCCAACATACATGGCTAAAGACATGTCAACATAAATGCCAACATACATGCCTACAGACATGCCAACATAAATGCCAACATAAATGCCAACAGACATGCCAACATACATGCCTACAGACATGCCAACATAAATGCCAACATACATGCCTACAGACATGCCAACATAAATGCCAACATACATGCCTACAGACATGCCAACATAATTGCCAACATACATGCCTACAGACATGCCAACATACATGCCTACAGACATGCCAACATAAATGCCAACATACATGCCACCAGACATGCAAACAGATATGCCTACCGACATGCAAACATAAATGCCAACAGACATGCCAACATAAATGCCAACTTACATGCTTACATAAATGCCAACAGACATGCCAACATACATGCCAACATACATGCCAACATACATGCCTACAGACATGCCAACATAAATGTCAAAAGACATGCAAACATAAATGCCAACATACATGCCAACATACATGCCTACAGACATGCCAACATAAATGCCAACATAAATGCAAACAGACATGCCAACATACATGCCTACAGACATGCCAACATAAATGCCAACATACATGCCAACATACATGCCAACAGACATGCCAACATACATGCCAACCGACATGCCAACATAAATGCCAACAGACATGCCAACATAAATGCCAACATACATGCCTACAGACATGCCAACATAAATTCCAACAGACATGCCAACATAAATGCCTACAGACATGCCAACATACATGGCTAAAGACATGTCAACATAAATGCCAACATACATGCCTACAGACATGCCAACATAAATGCCAACATAAATGCCAACAGACATGCCAACATACATGCCTACAGACATGCCAAAATAAATGCCAACATACATGACTACAGACATGCCAATATAAATGCCAACATACATTCCTACATACATGCCTACATACATGCCAACATAATTGCCAACATACATGCCGACAGACATGCCAACATACATGCCTACAGACATGGCAACATACATGCCTTTAGACATGCCAACATAAATGTCAACAGACATGCCAACATAAATGCCAACATACATGCCTACAGACATGCCAACATAAATGCCAACAGACATGCCAACATAAATGCCAACAGACATGCCAACATAATGCCTACAGACATACCAACATAAATGCCAACTAACATGCCAACATAAATTCCAACATACATGCCTACAGACATGCCAACATAAATGCCAACAGACATGCCAACATAAATGCCTACAGACATGCCAACATACATGCTTACAGACATGCCAACATAGATGCCAACATACATGCCTACAGACATGCCAACATAAATGCCAACAGACATGACAACAGACATGCCAACATACATGCCTACAGACATGCCAACATAAATGCCAAAATACATGCCTACAGACATGCCAACATTAATGCCAACATACATGCCTACAGACATGCCAACATAATTGCCAACATACATGCCTACAGACATGCCAACATACATGCCTACAGACATGCCAACATACATGCCTTTAGACATGCCAACATAAATGCCAACAGACATGCCAACATAAATGCCTATAGACATGCCAACATAGATGCCAACAGACATGCCAACATAAATGCCAACAGACATGCCAACATAAATGCCAACAGACATGCCAACATAAATGCCAACAGACATGCCAACATAAATGCCAACAGACATGCCAACATAAATGCCAACAGACATGCCAACATAAATGCCAACAGACATGCCAACATAAATGCCAACAGACATGCCAACATAAATGCCAACAGACATGCCAACATAAATGCCAACAGACATGCCAACATACATGCCTACAGACATGCCAACATACATGCCTACAGACATAAACACAACGACAATATATGCATTCACGAACAGACTGTCAAAATTGCATACAGAGTTACAACGATAAGTTTATTAAGTTCGTCAAAAATTACCTGTAACGCAATCTCCAGACCAATACACCTGTGTAGTAGAAGGGCATTTACAATATCCCTCAATACACTCAAGTGTATTTTTACATATACTGCACGTAGAACAACTGTCTCCATAAGACACAATTTCTGTCATAAAAATAATACCCTTTTAATCATATAAAATAAATCACGTTTAAATAAGGCAGCGGCTATTCGGAATGGGTCCAAGCGATGAAAGTTTGGGTTTATTAAAAATATTTTAACAATTATTGCAATGTTTGAAAGACAAATTTGTTATGAATTGAAATATAAATGAATGGACTATATATTTTTAAACTTAATTATTAATTTTAACTAAAATAAACAGCCACAAATGACATAAGAATAGCATTGAGTCAAAATTGAACCGTAAGCGCATCGCCGTTATTAGGACCCGGGCCCCGAACAATAATATATATATATTTTAAATTTTAATCCAAACCTCTAACTTCTCGGAACCGGGTCCAAATAGCCACTTTGTTTCAATAATATTTTTTCTTATTTAGTGACATTTTAAAATTTGTTATTGAGAGATACAACGAGGGCTAGATTTGGAGAAAAAAAAATGATTTCGTAACATAATTTATAAAGCAAACACAACATTCAGTTATTGTTTTTGTTTTGTTAACGTGAATGAAGTTTCTTTAATTGTCACTGTACAAAACATTAAAGAAGAGATCATGTGGATAACTAATTTGTTTTTAATTAAGTCGATTATGATTTGAGACACTTGATACATTCTGATCTTAACTACAGGTCTATAGAAGCTACTGCTCATAGAAAGATCATTACTTTTATTTGGTAACTATACCTAGGAATATACTAAACACGTTGAATTCAGTTTTAATATTTAAAATTAGAACGTGACATCATTCACAACACATGCAATAACCGTTTGTTACATGGAATATTTATAAATGAATAAATAGGTCTAACCTGTACAACAGATTGAACCGACAGTTCGACGACGGCGTTGTAGACATGCAAAGCTTACCTTTTGAAAGGACATAAGGGAAAACATTTTCATCGATCTGGAGAGTAAGTGTAAATTAATCTAAAGGGTGATAAATTATTTAATAACAATAAAGAAAGCTGGTTTGTTTGATTATCTTCGCCCTGCATACAGACTACAGAGAAGCATATGTAATCAGCTGCACACGTCCATATTTTATTATTAATTGGTTCTTCATTTTTGTTTCTATTTCTAATGAAGTTTCCTTGACCTCAATTAACTTTCATGAAGATTATGTGTGACTTTTTGGAAATTCGAAAGACACAACATTAGCTCTTAGAACATATACACACCTTAGATTTAAATTTGACTCATTTATATAGCACAGGGGTCTCCAAACTTTTCAGCTCGAGGGCCGCATTAACTATCAAACAGCAGTTCGGGGACCGACTACACACTCGAGGTCCAAATTAAAGAATCAAATCATGGATATTGTTTTTAATTATGAATGTAATATTATTTAATTCATTTATTATTTAATAACACATTGATCTACGACACATGTACACCTGTATCAGTTGGAATGGTGACATTGTTTCCAGTATGCCAAAATAGCAGTGATTAGCAGACATTTCTGGATTTAGATTTGATGTCCCTAATAACAAGAACCTGAGATTATCATCGGACAAATTTGTTCTCAAATTGTTCTCCACGTATTTCGTTCTTGAAAATGTTTTTTCACACAGGTATGTTGTTCTAAAGATTGAAAGACACCTTGATGCAAACGTTTTGAAATTAGGAAAGTCTTCCATGGGCGAAAATTGTTAAAAACCCACCGGTCGTTCTTTGAACTTGTCCCTAAAGTGCATTTCATCTTGGTGACTGGCCACATTTGCTTCAAATTGGTGTTGAAAAAGTCTCAATTCTTCTGCCTTTAAATCCAAGTCAGAAAAGCGCTGCTGAAACTGCAACTGGGGGTCTTCGCAATTCTCACATGCAAATGACGTGGGGAACTCCGCTGTTGCTTCAGCCATGAAGACCGTCCACTGCTGAAAGTGCGTCAAGGTGTTGGCCTGTACTTGTTTTAAAAAAAACCCAAACAAGATGAATTTGGATCTGAAGGCCTTTAGGGGGTGTTTAGATCAGCAACTCGATTTTCTTCTCCTTGTAGTTTTAGGTTAAGAAAATTTAAATGACTCGCTATGTCTGCAGCAAAGGCCATTTTCCATACCCACTCTTCATCGGACAGTAATGCCTGTTGCTTGCCTTTAATTTCCAAGTCACCTATTACCTTTCTTAACTTAAATACTTTGCTCAGACCTTTTTCACAACTTGGCCATCTTATTGCTGTGTAATATGGTAAATTTTGCTATTCTGTGTCTGTATCTTTCAACAGGTCTTTGAACTGTCTATGGTTGAGCCCGTGACCTTATTAAATTAAACCTCGCTACCACAGGATTCAGTACACTGCTAATGACCACACATGTATCACACAAAGCTTTCTGGTGAATAATACAGTGCAGGAACATTTGTTGCAGATTTTTTTTCTCATTACACACCTGCTTCATTTGTCCCACCAAGCCTTTCTTTATGCCAATCATGTTCTTTCCTCCATCAACAGTCAGGTAACTGAGGTTAGTCCAGTCGAAATTATAATCAGCAAATGTTTTTTTTTCAAATCATTGAATATATCCTCTCCGGTAACAGTTCCGTGCATGCTTGTTGGGAATCCAGCTCTTGTGTTATGCACATGTCTTCATCCACACACCCCTAACGAACACAAGCAGTTGAGACGTGGAACAGCTGTTCAGCGATTCATCCATTGCAATTAAAATTGGCGAAACAAGGTTACCTTTTTTTCCTTTTTTGAGTCACAATGTTTTTTCACCCATGTCTGCAACACGGCGGGCAAAGCTCCGCCACTATATGACGTTATATATTCTCCTTTCATTGAATGTAAACGGAAGTAGAAAAAGTAAACAGCGAATAAGGTTTTGCAAAGTAATGATCGGTTAGAAAACATAACGCACTGCTACTGCGCGCTTCTATTTTAATTCGGTAAAAACATAATGTCCACGTAAGCGGCGTCTTATCTTGGTAAGATACACGTACATTTTCGTAATTGTTGTCCGTAGACAAAAAGGTCTCCGCGGGCTGCATGATAGGGCCTCGCGGGTCGCATGTGGCCCGCTGGCCGTAAGTTGGAGACCCCTGATTTAGTAGATTATACTGCCATTTAGTTTAATAACCTGATTTTTAATTTGGCCTCAAAATCTTTATTTTATCGATTGAAAAACATATCTGTTAGTGTTTATCTTGCGAATAGATACAAGTTTCGTGGAAAATCAGATGGATGGATTGTTATGTAAAACAGTTGTATTATAACTGGATTTCCTTGCACATATCTTGCATTAACTAATAGTGTTGAAAAGTGACAAAATACTGAATGTTGCGCATTGTTTTGCACACCACATTTTGTATTGTGTGTTAACGTCACGTTGTTATGCAGTTCCTGTCTTCTGTCCATGGTGGTAGAACTCCATGTTGTTTTCTTGAAATTAAACGTTGAACTAACCTTGATGGTTACTTGTTACATTATCTTCCTTGTGAAGTGGATTAGCAACGTGTATTAGCAACATAGTATTTTCAACAAATAGGATGACAGCTGGGTTTAATGTTGAAAATTATCCCCACAACAACGGCAGAAGCAGCGGTGTGTTTGGACATCGGCCTTCTCTATTCGATTTTTGTGTGGAATCATTGAAGTCATTTGTCATGATCAAAATGGTAGGGCGAGGAAAGACTCAGATTCGTCTTAAAGAGGTCTTTAAAAAAAAAAAAAGGATAAAGAAAATTTAAAACTTATGTGTATCCAGGACTCTTATCTGAAAACTGACATCACGGTCAAGGATGAGGATTGAAGTTAACAGGTTTACCACTGTACTTGGGACTCGTAGACCATGCCGGAAGTTTGTGTAACTGATAAAGTCTAGCTGTTCGACATGTGATTATCTCTCCAATTTCAAGTCCGCAATGTAGCCACTCAACTAATATGAATGGTTTAAGAAGAAAGTAAATCTATGGAAAGCCTATCTATGATCAGGCCAACACTATTTGTTGGATCAAATGAACTTTTAGACTTGTGAAATTTCAAGTGGAACAAACTAATTGTACGCACTTTATACAATTTTTATGTTTTTTTGGAAAAAACAAAATTATGATGAGCTGTACTTTAAAACAAAAGACAACTCAAGCACAAAAAAAGGTATTTATTTTTTGTTGTTGAAATTTTGAGTATATAATTAAAGCCAATGAAGCATCCTTATCATGTCAATATGGAAGACTCATCAAAATCAGTTATTTTTTGCCTTGCATATAAAAATGTTTTAAATCTGATTTGCTGGATGTTCCCAATGATTTAGAACTGTATTCAAATAAAAATGTAGTACTTTACTAAATTGCTACAGTGTGTTTTTTTATATGCTGAACGTATATGCTGAAAATCTGGGATTTTCTTCAGTTACGAATATCAACAGCAAAAAAAAAAATTGACACCTAAAGATGAAAATCTTAAAGCTGAATTACGATTTGCTTTGTGTTACAGAATTAAACCTCACTTAAAATAATTGTTAAAACATTTGTTTGAAAATAAAAACTATTTTCTGTAGACGAAATTTAGAAATTAATCTCTTTCCCTTACCTAATGTTATATTAGAGCTTTAAACTAAGTAGGAAAATTAGCTAATGTAGTGGTTTGCTAACCGCATTTAGTCTTAGGTCTAAAAAAAAGTATTCTGCTCAGCGCGATTTTATAAAATTTGGATATCTTTTGTCGCGTTTAGTTTTTAATCATATTCGGGAACTTTCTAGATTTTCTGACATTGAGATTTAATAACATTAATAACATTTGCTAGTCAGATTCAGATTTTCTATGAATCTGTTGTTAAAATAGATTGTATACATATATTGAACATTCCTTATCTGCACAAAAATGGTAAGCCTACATGCTCTAAAATTTTCTAATTCTTTTGCCCTTTATCTGTAAATATTTGAAGCTTGATCCAACGTCCTAAACATGCCATATAACTCAATCAATTTCATTACACTTGCTAGACACGTTATTTTACTTTCAGTTTTAAATACTTTCGGTGTTTAAAAAATCAATTCTTTCTATGCTAGACTTTGATTTCCATAATCAATAGATCGGCTGTAGCACCTGCACTGGGTCATTGTTTGCCGAAATCAAATGTATATTGGTATTTTTGCTAAATGTATTAACAAGGCCAATAAAATGTAAGCTGTCTGAAGCTGCGCTTTAGAACACATGACAATTATCTAAATGCTTACAATAAAAACTATAGTTCTAGGTGTGTAAACGAATTTTTATAGTTCAAGGGTCATAACATCGCAGTTACTTTTGCTGAGGCAATTTAGTGTTGATCGTGGGAAAAGTCCATCTCAATTCTTTCGGCCAACAGAGGAGCCCCTTTTTGTTGTTGTAGGCAGAAAATGCAGTTTATAGCAAGAATACAAAAAAAAGATTTGATGAACTATGTTTAAAGAGATTTGATCCAACTTACCACATTCACAATTAATATTAAAAGAAGAAGAACAATCAGTTGTCCTTTAACGAACATTCTTAAATCCTTTCTTGGAGATAAAATACACCAACACTGTATGAAATGTTTTACACTTGGCTTATTCAAACGAGCTAAGGAATGAATACATGTAACCGCCCCTTCTGCACATTAAATAACAACAACAAAAAAAAAAAAAAACAACAACAAAAAACAGCAACGCAACTATAAGCCCACGTCCGCCTGAGACTTGATTTAGACTTTATTCATACGACCGTTTGGTTGTGTAGCTTTATTCAACCGTGCATGACCGATTGCTTGATTTCATTTTCGCAACGGGCAACAAGGAAGTAATCCTAGCATGGATAAGGTAGTTATTTTACTCTCAAAGCCCAATCGTATATATATATGTATATTGGCATATCGATAAGTTTAGTTAAATGTTAATAACACATACTAATAAATCAGCTATCAAATAAAGGTTTATTGAAAAGGTAATGTAATACAGCAACATTTTTTTTTCTTTTTAAATTTAATTGTAGATCCCATGTGGTGATTTGAATGCCTTAAACTCAAACTGTGTAAATAGACATTTCACACGGAAGGGATTTTCGACGAGTGGGGGGGAGCAGTGCCAATGGACAGTGATCAGAGGTGTAGCTAACGGTTGGCAGAAATACAGATTTATCCTGGTTTGCCACACAAGCGGGGATACCAAACTTTTCTTTAATGGTATTTAATGGTTGAAAATAATAGGATTCATGTTTGAGAACGGGGGGGGGGGGGCGTACAAAATGAATCAAACACACAATATACGCTCCTAAAAGTGGCGAAGAATTTGGGCTGGTTGGCTGCCTCATCCAGGCGTCACTTTTCTTTAAATGGAGATGCGTCATTTTCGAACAACAGCAGAGTTTGTATCACGAAATGAAGAGTGGCAATATTATTTGGGCCCATCGTGGCACTAATTCTAACTACGCCACCAGGCAGTGTTTCTATCGGCTCAAAAATTAACGTATATTTTCATTAGAGAGTAGGGTGGAAATTGATTGCGCCGATGAATCATGATGGCTGTATTTTTTTATTTTTTTTTTTTAAATTATGATTTGAAAATCCAGCTGGTGCAATTTTGAATATATTTCAATTCAATTTTTCTATAAAAATTTTGGATACTATACTTTTTTTTTATGATGGCTGTATTTTTTTATTTTTTTTTTTTAAATTATGATTTGAAAATCCAGCTGGTGCAATTTTGAATATATTTCAATTCAATTTTTCTATAAAAATTTTGGATACTATACTTTTTTTTTAACAGAAGAAGGATGTTTAGGGAGTTGGGGGTTGGTGGCATTATTGCGCCCAGTGCTATACATCAACTGAATTCACTCCAGTTGTGGTGTGCTCTGGGGTAATTATGAGGCACTCGCTTATATTTCACCCTTTACTGTAGCATTATTTATTTTGAATTTTACGATGTCATTAGGCTTTAAAAATATTGTTATTATAATAATTTTAAATGTATTCGATTCCATATATGTTGAGCTAGATCAAAGGTAAACTTTAAACAGTTGGTATATTTATTTTTAATAAAGAATTAAACGCTCACATACAAATATGCATGTTTAATCGATTATTATTAAATCAAAAGTGTTTTTTTAAGCATCAACTTTTGTAACAAAGCTCTTAATTGAAAGAGTTTTAAGAAATACTTAGACTAAATTTATTGAATTCACAAATGCTTTTGTCTTTTTAATATCAGAAGAATAACCGACGTCACAATCTATTTGCACGGATTTAACCTTAAAAAAAAAAATATTGGTCTAGATGAGAATGTAGAAGAAAGATATACAAACGGCTTTTTTTTGTTGATAACTTGTTAACTTTTGTTGTTAACTTGCACTTCGATTCTAACCTCTTTTCCTCTTCTTTGTCACTAGTTTTAGAAGAAAAAAAATTGTATTTTCAAAGCGTTAATTTAAAAATAACAAATTCTCTGGATTTGGTTAAAGAACGTTGAGCAGTACATCGAAGGGGCAATTAGAGGTTTATGTGATTAAAGTTAAAGCAGTTTGATAATCCAAATATAAAAAAAAAAACAATCAAATGAATATTTGGAAAGTTATATTTGATTTTTACAAGATTTTTCATGAGAAAAATGTACTCATAAATAAATGAATATTGTGTCTTTTTGTAATCAACTCATATCTTCTTAACATAATATTGTCGTTCATAATGATTTATAAAAATGATCATTTAAAACCCCATAAAATTGTATAGACCTCTCTAATCAACTGTTTCTTTGTTGTTGTTTTTTTTTTTTTTTTTTTTTTTTTTTTTTTTTTAATTTTGGAAAAAATTTGGAAATATTTTAAAAATTTAATTATTATAATAAATTTTTTTTTTTTTTAACCCAAAAAAAAAAATGTTTTTAAATAAGTAAATAAACAAATAAATAAAATAATGCAAAATACAATAAAAGCCACACTATTTAATAGCCTAGAAATTAAATACGTCTCCTACATCTAGTTGTTCCAATTTATTCAAGATAATGACGATAAATAGAGATAATTGAAAATTCTCTGCATGTATAAACGCAAAGACCGACATACACAAAGGCTAAGCTATGGCTGCTCTATTTAAAGCAGTAAATCTTCTCCACAAGCATCTATACCCAATGGCTCTGTGTGTTTTGCAACAATACTTGCTACGATTTCGATTCCATGGCCATCACTACTAGAAGTCGAAGGCATAAACTCATATTTCATAAAATACTCTGAGCATGTTTGACAAAGAGACTGATATGTAGAGTATTTGTTTGTTTTGATTTTGAGGGTTTGACATTCGCTAGTTTGATTCTAATGATGTTGCGGCGAATTTGTAATAATCTGAGGTTGCATTCATCACACACGTAATCTATGTAGGGACTATAGCCTGTTACATGACACGGTCTTCTGACTACTGTGACGTGTAATTTGTGATATGGGGTTGTGATCGTTGATGTAGCCTTTGCAATAGTAATGCACTGTCTTTTAGATTGTTTTTCTTCGACTAACTATCTCTAATAATTATTCAAGGCACACCTCTGTCATAATAAAATGTGTAAGTCAAACTTTAGCACACTACACTTATTTAAATGCATATAAATATTTTTACAAAATATTTGAGCAAGCTTCAATTCACGTGTTGAACAGAATACGTATGTCACACGTAATTCAAATGACATTCGAAAGATATTATACACGACCTTTACTTCCACTTTGTTTTCGTCCTTTCCCATATTTCTCGTGGAATCTCAGTTTATCTCGAACTTATAAAAACGTACTAAATAACGAGACGTTAAGTTTATACGAGCTTACAGAGAAGCAAATGAAACGACGAACACAACAACACTATCACGCTGAAAATAAAAATAAAGAAACAGGGAAATACAAAACTAAATTTTTTACATAAAGTTTTCTTTAAAAATGAATAAAAGATCATTTAATATTCAAATTTTTATTCTTACACAATTTGAATTAACTTTAACAATGAAAATAACTGTCTAAACTTGACGTAAAGTAGTTTATGAACAATTTGACTCCTATCTAACGAGAAATAATACGCTTAAAGCAAGTGGCATTTCCAACTCATATAGTGTGTATCTGTATTGATAGAACAATTGTAAGTTATCCTTTCAGTGGACTAATATTTCTAGAGATGCATTCTACTTCATGCTGTGTAACACAATATTGTAAATGGCTTTCTTGTTAAATTTGAAATTGAAAATAAATGTAAACAATAATTACAATAAAACTGTTTTTTACTGTCAACTGTTTGACGTTGTTCCGAAACTTTAAAAAAATTTCTAATCTACCATTCTATTTGTTTTCTGCCACTACTGGTTTTAAATAAGTTTAAGAAAAAAGTATGTATTTATTGTCTTTAAGTGGCAGGTACATAATTATGTTCCTTTCTTTCCATTCTCTTCTCGTTCTTTATCTAGAGACACTAAACAATAGTGTTAGTTAAAATCATATGTTAGTAAATATATGTATACTAATTTATCTATCAAGAATGAGTTATTCTCTACTTACTTGTTTTTCACATGTCATTATTATCGCAGAGTTACTCACGCATTTATCACTGACGCAGGTCAAAATCTCTTCACATTGAGACGTGAATGAGAAGGCATCCTGGTAATTAAATACTGGAGGTTGACAAAAGATTATTATATTTAAGGTTCCAATAAACTTTTGTTAATTGAAATGTTTATTTTTAGGCAATGAAGATATTTCAAAAATTTAGTGAAATCTATTTCTTCCTGTAATAATTAAACAAAATAAAATATACCGATATCGATAATAAGTCGCTTATCTTAATTCTTTTACAAGTAACATTAAAGAGCTTGTCATACGTACAGTTATATTTACCAAAAATAAAGCTCAGTGTCTCATTATATTGAAAGACAGATTAACAATTTACATCAAAAACTAAGCCGTAGATATATTAATTCTAATTAAATTAGTTATATTAGGATCAAGAATGATAACAATATATGTACTGTAAAATATATGCTGCAGAATTTCTTTTAATAAATTAAAATTGTATTTAGTTAATTAATATTTTAGGAAAAAGCTAACTTTAAACATAATCCATCAACTTCAACTCTTATGACGCAATTTTAAAATAAATTTTTAAAAACTAAAAAAATTAAATTTAAAAAAATAAATAAATGGCGCCTCCTGTATGGATAATATATTTAATTAAAACATAACTGTTATGGTGGACTACCGGACTGGACCTTCCCGATAGCCAGCCAGGTGAAACAGCGCGCATGCGCAGAGACACTGTAGTGAGAGGGTTTGTTATTGAAGTGTGTATTCCGGTAGCAAGCAGAAAGTCACCTGATTGAGAACTTGTATTTATGTATATATATGTTTATGTTACTTGTTTGAAATAAAAAAATGAAAACATAACAAATGGTGGCCAGTATTGTATCGACCAGTATTTTATCGACCAGTATCAACGACACAGTATGATGGTCAGTATTAACTCAAAACAAAACTCATTGCAACTCAGTACAACCGAGTTATAGATTGATACACA